TTTGGATTGTTTTCATTTGTGGAGGAAGATCTACGAGAGGGTGTGTTCAGAGAGTTCGTAGCTTATTTGACACATTCGAGCAGTGTGCTCAATCAGTGATTTAAGGGGTAACTTTGATTTCAGCACTAACTGAAGGGCATTGGCTCACATTAGCTTAATTGATTCTCTTAGAATATAGGGATATCACCAAACCATCATCATGAATCATACATGGTTCTTTGGTGCAGATTTCAAAGAATATTTTATAAACGTATTTGTTAATGGGAGTTCTGTTTTTCTTTTTATTGTTATTATTTTTAATTTCCTAGAGGGTGTGCATACTTACAGGTGGGAGATAGAGGGAGATAGAGATAGATGGAGAGGATCAGGGGAGCGGCACCTCCTACCCCGCTCCTGGCCACTGGTGTCTGCTCATGGCAGGAAGCACCTGTGCCACAGGGTATCAGTACAGGCCTGAGTAAGGAAAACGGTATCTTCCTCCTAAGCCATGGCATAGCAGCTATACAAAAATACCACTTCAGCAAACAGTCTTCGGGAGAACTTAAATGAGCTCGTACAGTCTCAACAGATTACCCCCTATTTGCCCTTCAAGTTCTACTTCAGTTTGATAAGGCTATAAATTCAGCATTGGCTCAGAGGGTCAGGAACAGAGTTAATTTCAGGGGCTCTCTCAGTATGTACAGATTCTGCAATGATGTGTGGACTTTCGTATTGAATGATGTTGAATTCAGAGAGGTGACAGAACTTATTAAAGTGGATAAAGTGGAAATTGTAGCCTGTGATGGTAAAAACACAGGCTCCAATAATACAGAATGAATAGAAAAAAAAATTTTTTATGCCATCTTCTGTCATTATTCATCGCTTTTTGAAGAGAAGCATAGAAGAGGCTTTTTAAATTTATCCTAGCATTGCAGAAATGATAACACTGTGCTATACTATCAGAGAATTCCAGTAGAAAGAAGCTTAAAATTCTGTAGCCTCTTACCTTTACTATACAGCATGAGGAAGCATAACTTTCTTTAATAATAAATCAAAAGTTATTGCCCACCTAAGAACATTCTGTAATAAGCTCATTGTAAAATGAAAAAGAGGAGGGGGGAGTGAGAAAGCACCCCCCGCCCCCCTGGGATGGACATGCCACGATCCTGTCTTCATTTTTCTCTCCTTTCAGGATTTTGAGCACACACACATTTCTGGCATGTCTTTCAAGCAACTGGGGCTGGGACTTGAACCACACAGTGGGCCATGTGAGATCGAGTAGTCTTAACCACCTCACCACTGGCTGGCCCTGGGAGTTCTGTTCTTTTAACATTTAGACTTTTAACACAGACTTCGTCTGTATTCTGTAGTGAGGTCTGTGAGAGGACAGGACAGACACAGTAGATCCCATGTTAAGAACACTTTGGCCTATACCATCTAGGTAACTATAACTGAAGTTTGGAACGTGTTTTATTGAGTACTGATATTAAAGTATGTGTGCTGTTGAGTGCCAAACTTTATGAAAAGCAACGTTAGTTAATCAACCAACAAAATATGTATTAAAGTTCCATTAGTCATTCAATAAATACTTACAGAATATCTAATAAAGTCCAAATACTCCACATTTGCCACCTCTTTTTCATCTTTGCAAGAATTAACAAGGATTATAATCCCACCATTTCTGAGATTTACAGAGGTTAGAGATATAGAGAAGTTAGGCTTGTTTAAGGTTCTAGTGTAGCCAGGATTTCGATTGACTCTAAACTGTTCAATCTTAAAATCCATGTCATTTCTTCCTGGCCAGGACCTGTCAGGAAATCAAAGCTGTATAAGCTATAGTCCCTACCATGCAGAGTTTAAGATGAAGTCTAGAACATAAGACTTACATCTGTAAGTCTATAAAACATAAGACATTGGTGAAAAACATTTAAGCAAGTGCGATAAGATCCAATAACTATGGGAATTTAGGGGAGAGACGTCAAGGCAGGCAGCTTGAGTCTATAGGGTTTGTGTTGCTTGAAGAGCAGGTAACGTGGATGGTTGAGGGCAAGCAGAAATGCTTTCAGATGATAAGAGCTGAATGAAAAAAGGTGCAAAGCCAAAACGATCAAGCAGTGTTCAAGAAATCATGAATAGACCTGCTTCCTAGAGCAAACATTCTGCATCCCAGAGTAGAAAATGTTGTTGAAAAGGAAACTGGAGCCTGTTAGTGGAGGGCCCTGAATTCCAGGTAAAGAAGTTGGACTTTATTCTGTGGTTAATAGGAAGCTATTTCAAGTTTTGAATATAAAGTAACATGACTTGAGAGTATTTTAGGAAATTCACCTGAATGTCAACTGGAAGATGAAGCAGTAGAACTGGAAGGACTCTGGACCGGGGTAGAAATAACACACGATCGATGTTTATAACCTTGGAGAGACCTAGAAGGAGTCAGGCCCTGAGATACTGTGCCCAAGAATAAGGTCCAAAAGTAAGGCCAGACCAAGGGGGCATTTATTCACAGTTGCAGAGGCTGGGGCTGCCAGAAGGAAACTGCAAACATGGTCAAGAAGGGAAGCAGAGGTCAGATCTGGAGAAGCCTTTCATAGCATCAGATGGATCTAGGAGCACTAGCAACTGTCCTAGTCCATTTAGGCAACTATAGCAAAATATCAGAGGCTGACTGGCTTATAAAGAACAGAAGCTTATTTCTCACAGTTCTGGAGTCTGGAAAGTCCAAGATCCGGTCACCAGCACATCTGGTGTCTGATGAAGGACCTTCTTCCTATAACCTTACATGGTAAGAAAAGGGCCAGGGGACCAGCAGTTAGCATAATGGCTATGTCGCTTGACTCTCATGTAGTCAACCATGGTTCGAGTCCTGGACCTGGTGGCTTAAACTCATGCCAGGCACATGTGTGTGCATGCCCAAGATCCCGAGAGGAGAATGGAGGAGAAGGGATTGCGGCATGGCCATCCCCCCTGAGGGGTGATTTCTCGCTTTCTGTCTCTCTGTCTCTCTCTGTCTGTCTGGCAAGCACACACGCCCTATAGCAAAAACCTCTTCAAAAGAAAGAAAGAAAGAGAGAAAGAGAGAAAGAAAGAAAGAAAGAAAGAAAGAAAGAAAGAAAGAAAGAAAGAAAGAAAGAGGGGAAAAAAAGGAAAGAAAAGGGCCAGCAGCTCTGTGGGGCCTCTTTATAAGGGAATTGATCTTGCTCATGAGGCCTCCTTCCTCATGACCTAATCCCCTCCAGAGGCCCCACCCAATACCATTACTTTGGGGATCAGATTTTCAACATATGGATATGAAGGGAGGTGGAGAGCACAAGATTTAGACCATAGCAGCCTATTAATAAAAACTGGGGGAGGGCAGTGAGAGGACCTGGAACAAGTTCTTGTGCAAAACTGAATACCCTCTAGCAGCCTGCTCACCACACACTGTGGAGGGAGCTAGCCCTGACACTAAACTTGAAGTCAGAGGAACCAAGATATGAAAGCTCTAAGTCACAGTGGATATCAGAAGAAAGATCTTTATCATATGAGAGCACTCACAAAGAAAGACATGACAGGGCTTATAGATCTATGATACATAATCAGAGAGGAAGGAGAGTTGTGGTCTTATAAGCCCTTATAGTCATTTGAAGAATAAGCCCTGTTCTGAATGTTCATTTGGAAATCAGTTATTTGGGCTTCAAGAAATTTTCATCATTAAGAGGCTTTTTACACAAGGAAATGTTTTCAAAATCAGTTCTACATCTCAGGAATATGGCCACCTCAGTGTAACCATGGACTCTAAATTTCCCGTGCCCTCATGATCTTTCTGCTTGCCTATTGGCATGAGTGTGAGCTATGTCCATACAGATCTGACTTGGGATGATGCTTGTGAGTCCTGGTGTGTAGAACTGTCAGTCTGCTCCTGGTGGTTCTGGGAAGTAACTCCACACATGTAGACTGCCCACACCCCCAACTTCCAGCTATGTAATTCTCCATCTTGGGTCTATTCTAGGACAAGATGCAATTTTAGGATTGTTTGACCCAGAGGTTTTTCACTCTTTTTTTGAATAGAGAGATTTTAGCTATAGGTTGTGTGTGCTTGCCGGAGAGACTGAGAGACATAGAAAGTGAGAAATTGCCTCATAGGGCAATGGCCATACCACAACCCCTTCTCATTCTCCTCTCAAAATGTTGGGTATACACAAACATGCACCTTGGCATGAGTTTTAAGTTGCCAGGTCCAGGACTTGAACTGCAGTCGACCATGTGGGAGTTAGCAATGTAACCACTATGCCATCTGTTGGTCCAGTATTCACTCTTATCTGCCTTGTAATAAGTTCTATCTGCTTCTCTGTCACTGTCCTATTTCTTCTGCAAAACCATAACCCTTTTTAGTTTTTCTCCTGTAAGAAGTTTCCAATCTCCTTTTTCCTTCTCCTTTCTCTTGCTTTCCTCAGATCCCTCTACATGGTAAATTAAAGGATGTATATAGGTCATACTGGGAGGTTTGGGACATTGAGAGGGACAGGGGAAGATTAATCTCATCTCCATTTCAGAAGAACAAAAGGAACTCAGAAGAAAGCACTGTTAGGTCTCATCAGTTTTCTCTCAACCCAAATCTTACTTGTAATACTGTTTTTTCTTTTATGGAGGAGTGGAGAGAGACAGATAAATATTTTCAACAGGATTGTGCTTTGTGATACTCCTGTTAGCTAGGATTGCAGATACACACAACCATGCCCAGCATGGTCAGGTTAGCCTGGGAACTGAATCCAGGCCTCCCATGTGGCCTCCAGCCTCCAAAGCAGTGACTTTACTTATGCACCATGGTGGCCGGGCCCTTACATGTAATATTCTTAAATGGGGTCCACAGATATTGTAGATACGTCCATACTTATTATATGTGTCCCCACTTGTTATGGTTTTTCCATTCATTTTTCTGTCTCTTGTACTTTACTCCGTGAAGTGCCTGTGAAAGGATTTCTTACGTAACTCTAAGCCATTTTTTGATTGTTGTTACTCTTTCACAGCATGGCATGTGCGCTTACCAGAGAGAGACGGGGGCTGGGGTGGGTGAGAAAGCACTGCATCCCAGGTTTCAAAAGTCACTTTGGCACATCCCTTTCTGTACCACCAATGGGAGTGAGGCGAGGGCCTGGCAGAGACACACACTGCAAACCTGGGCTTTGTGACAAGACAGACTCTAATGAGCTCACAAGGCCTACCTGGCGCAAAGGTCACCCTCTGTCTTGATTTTTAAAAAATGTATTCATGATACTGAGAGGGCCCCATGAGAGCAGTAAGTGGGGAGTAGGATGAGGAGGCTTCAAACTGGTTTACCTCAGCGTGGGGTACTTTTTGGCTGGGCTTTAATAATCAGTCAATGTGTACATGCATGCATGTGCATGTGTGTGTGTGTGTGTGTGTGTGTGTGTGTGTGTGTGTGTAAAACTATTAACTCCACAGAGTGCTGTCCTATCTACCATCTGATATGATCATGAACCCTACCCCTATAGACCTGCCTTAGAGTGGACCCAAATCCTCCAAACCCTCCTAAACCTGGGTGATTCAGCCTCAAACTGCCATCATCCCTCCAGACTAGATTCAATGCCGCCTGGAACTCATTAGATTTAACATCCAACTGTGCACATGTGTGGTATTTCCTCTGTTATTTTATATCGGTAGTTATTTTATATCATCCTTTCAAGAACTCTATGAGAAAAAAGTATCTTTATTCTCATTTTGTGGAAAAAGAAATGGAGGTTCAGAGATGTCGATACCTTTCCCCAGGTCACACAGGAGATAGCTTGAGAAGCAGGTTTCAAATCCAGATTTGCTTGACTTTAAAACCCGTACTCATGCTAGGCCTGTGCATGCCACAGGGTATTTTCCTAGGCCTGGAAGAAGGGAGGGGCTTCTGCAAAATTTTTCTTAGAGACCCAGAATAGAAACATGCCATCAATTTTGTGGTCTCTGGGCCACTTCCTTGTCAGTGACAGTGTTAGACTAGGTGCTGAGGATGTCTGTATGCTCTCTCTCCACATGCAGGGTGACAAGCATTTTATTCCTTCAGCATGTGTTTTGTTTTCCATAGAAGAATCATTCTTCTGACAGCCACTTTCTTTCCAAAGCCTAGAACACCATATGCTCGCTAGACGACGAACGCTGTCAGCAAGGAAAAGAAAAAATGTTGGCTGCCCTCCCCTTTTGGAGTTCAAATATTGTTCAGAACATTTTGCTTCTATTTTATTTGTTGGCCTTTTACAAAATATCAAAGATGAAATAAATGAGAAGCAAAAGATCTTGCTGAACCAATGGTGCCCAGTACCTGGTTAGCTGAAAACATTTTGTTTGTTTAAACAGTACTGGAGTAATAGAAAATTGTACAAAACCCCATGATTAATATGTGGCTAACAAAGACCAAAAGCTCAGAAATTAAACAAATTAAATACAGTATTAGAGTAGTCCCTTCTGGTTAATTCTGAACTGTTTCTGAAAACAATGAATTTTTTGGGAAGGCATTAAGATCATAACAAAGCTCCCACAGAAGAACAGAGCCTGAAGTTTATTCTGGATCTCTGCCTGTATAGAAAAAAAAAAAAATGGCCACAGGAGAAAAAAAAATATGTCCATGTAGACAAAATAAGATTTTGGTGAGCACAGCTGGGCACTTTTATCTTATATGCTGTGATTGGGATCAGAGTCCTTTTACAGAAATGCAGCAGTGTTGAATAATAGGATTTTCTCACGTAAAATCTTATTGTATATTTTCTTACTTGCTTACTTTTTTTCACGGCTCTTTTTGTGTATTTGGTAAAACTTATACATGATAAGGGGGATAGATGGTGGTGTGGTGTAAAAAGCTACACTCTGTGCCATTGACCCACATGGGAAGATTCCAGATTTGCATCTTGAGACTTCTCTCAGGCACATGTGCATACCTATGATCCAGGGCTGGCTGAAGTTGAAGGAAAGGGGGAACATCTAGAAGTCAAGGTCTTGTTGGGGATGCTCTCTCTTTGTTGCTCTTTTTCTGTCTCTTTCACTCATAGCCTAGTGGTTAAGGGAGCCAGATCTAACATGACCATCCTTGGTTTGAATTCTGGCCCTAGTGGCTTAAAAAACAGCCAGGCATATGTGTATGTGTGCCCCAAATCCCAATAGGATGTAGAAATGGAGGAGAAAGGATTGCAGTGGAGCAGGGGGGGTGCTTTCTCCCTTTCCTTTTTTTTCCCCCCTTTTCTTAGTGTAAGTAAAAGGTAGTTTATTAAGTAAAAGTACACTCCTGAGAGGTAGGAACAGGCCTGAGCAGACAGAGAAAGAGTGACTCAAAAGGCCCCAGCAGTTGCATTCTGCCAAATTTATCATTTTAAACCTAGGTCATGTAGGTTGATCATTGGCTGGGTCCACTGATTGTTCTCATTGGCTCTATCAAATGTGGCTGGGTCCACTGATTTATCTCATTGGCTATATCAAATGTTGCTTAATCAGCTAGACATTCCCCACTAATCTACTGCTTACATTTCCTTGGACAATGAATTTTCTGCCTTGATTTTTTTTTTTCCTATCTAGCCACATGGACAGATGTTCCAGCCCCCTTACCCACTTCCATCTGCTAGCTTTATCCTCCTCATTTTCCCCCTGAGAGGCATGATCCCCATAAATCTGAAAGGTGTATGGTCTGTCTTCTGTAACTGCTTCATGTTAGAAAGGGGCGTTGACCCTACCTATTGGGGAATCGTGGAACTCTTGCCTTCTCTGACCTAGATAGGAGAGCAGGGCCAGGGGCAGGTTGCTGAGAAGGTACCCAGGTGTGTCCTTGGGAGGACTGTCGTTAGTGCTGGGTGACTTGGCAGTAGGATTCAGTGGAGGTTTTAAGGGGTTGCTATCTCTTTCTCTCCTTCTTTTTCTCTGTCTCTCTTTGGCTAGTGGATATACCTCTGGCAATAAAAGTAAGAAAAGAAAACAAAAAATATACATATTATGAAATAGGCACATATCTGAAGAGTACATTCAGCGAGTTTCAACAAAAGTAAACACCTGTGTACATCAAACCCTTTCAACTTTGCTACCACTCCAGAGGCAATGTCTGTTCTGGCTTAGTAGATTAGATTTTCCTGTTTGGGGACTTTTTTTCTATAAGGTTCCCTTGATTCAGCATATACTTTTATTTTTTAAATTTATTAACCATGTGTTGCATGTTCCATTTTTCTTTCTTTCTTTTTTTTTTTTTTTAGAGATTTTTGCTACAGGGCGTGTGCGCTCGCCAGACAGACAGAGAGAGACATAGAGACAGAAAGCGAGAAATCACCCCCCAGGGGGGATGGTCACGCTGCAATCCCTTCTCCTCCATTCTCCTCTCGAGATCTTGGGAACGCGCGCACACGCGCCCGGTGTGAGTTTTAAGCCACCAGGTCCGGGACGCGAACCGCGGTCAACTACATGGGAGTCCAGCGACATAGCCATTACGCTAACTACTGGTTCTCTGCATGTTCCTTTTGATTGCTGGATAATATTCCGTTATATGAGGAACATTTGACTCTTTCTGGTTTTGAGCCAAATAAAGGTGCTGAGAACATTCTTGTACAAGTTTTTTTTTGTAGACACACGTTTTCATTTCTCTTAAATAGATACCAATAAATGAAACTGCTGAGTCATAGGGAAGGTAAATTGTTTAGTTTTATAAGAAACTGTCAGGGCCTCCACCATCACCCTCTCACACTGGCATGCTGCTCACACCCACCTACCAGCAGTGTGACTGCCACTTCACGTCCCACCTCCCTGGTCAACTCCTCCCCTCCACCCTCTGCCCCAGCTCAGTCCTTAGCCACATTAACACCAGGGAGGTGGGCTAAGTCAGGGTAGCATAACTGCTGACTGAGGTGAGGCCTGATCCCAGCTGCCTCTGCAACCCACAAGAACTTGGACCGCAGCCACTGCCGATGAGTAACCCTCAGAGAGAGGAATTAAGTGAAATTGTTAGGGGATAGGAGGAAATCAGAAAGAATTTTTAGTTTTCTTGGTTTCTCCTTTCAAAAGCAGAGAGGAGTCAATTACCTGAAGCCGGTGCTGCTCTGGAGGACTTCCCCATCTCCTGCCCTCTCTCTGGAGGAGAAAACTGAGAGGAACTCTCCTCTGAAACTCTCAACCCCAGGCTCCTATTTGTATCTCAGCATTCCTACCCACTGAACAAGGAAACTGGAGTGGAGCTAAAGTATATCACAGAGAAGTGCAAGAGCAAACAGCTTGAGGGAAAAAAAAAGTTGGATCTTTTACCTCACCCCCACCTGGAGCTGGTAAGAGAGATGCAGTGTCCTGTGAGCTAGTCGGCAGGTAGAGCTCTGTTTATCATAAAGTACGCACAACTTAAAGGGAGCAAAGGATGCAAAAGAGAACACCCTCACACCAAGAAAAACTGAAGAATTTGAACTACCCTTGTCTGGCAGACAGAGCAGGCCTGCACTCTCCCTCCCATAAGACTCAAGTCCAGAGGAATAGTTACCTACTCCAATAGACACCACCCGCAATTCAACTTTTCTGGACCTCCCCAACTCTCTCTTGTATAGGCTACATGAGCCCCACTCTGACCTGGGAGCTACAACTGGTCACTGGCCCCTCCTGAACCACTCTGCCAGAGTCCCACATGGGACCTAGGCTGTTCCTCTCCTCTGGGACTACAGAACCTACTCCAAAAATTAGGGAGAAATAAGTCAATTCTTCATTAGATACCTAAAAATCAATGCAGAGACACAACAAATCAAGAAAACAAGCAGATACCTCTCCCCTAAAGCAGCACAATCACTCCTCATCAACAATGGCTAAAATTCAAGAAATCAGAGCAGTCAGAAAAAAACATCCAGGGGACCAACAGATGGCATAATGGTTACGTTGCTGGACTCCCATTTGGTTGATCGTGATTTGAGTCCCAGACCTGAAGCTTGAAGCTCATGTCAGCATGTGTACATGCATGCCCAAAATCCTGAGAGAATAGAGGAGAAAGGATTGTGGTGGGGCATCGCGATGTGGCCACACACACCCAGGGTGGGGGGGGGGTGATTGCTTGCTTTTTGTCTGTTTATCTCTCTCTGTCTTTCTGGCAAGTGCACGCACCCTATAGCAAAAATCTCTCTTAAGAAAATAAATAAGTAAAAAGAAAAAGCATTCAGAATATTCATCATAACAAAATGCAGTGAGGTGCAAGAGGAAATAATAAATTCCAGGAGATGAGAAAATCATTCCGTGACATGAAGGAGGAAGTTCATGAAGAGATACCCTAAAACAGAATCAAACAGAACTTCTAGATATGAAGAACACAATATAGGAAATTAAAATTGCCCTTAAAAATATTAACAGCATATTAAACCACATGAAGAAAGAATTTCTGACCATGAAGACAAAAATCTCTGACTTAGTCCAAGCAAAAAAAAACAAAAAAAAGAATAAAAATAAATAAATAAATGAGGACACTGTAAGGGAAATTCTAGATACCATTAAGTGACCAAATATCCATCTATTGGTTATTCCAGAGGTGAAGACATGGGTAAAGGTATAGAAAATGTCTTTCATGAAGTACTTTCTGCAAACTTTCCAAATTCAGAGATACATACAAACATCAAAAT